CACAGCAACTTACAAGGAAATCCTTCCAGCTAGGTTTCAAAATGTGCCCATGGAGCTTTCCAATACGACTGCGCTTTCTGTGAGGCTGGCCGAGTAGAAAGGAGGCTGGCGTGCTTCCTTGCACACGCGATTAAGAAACAGTCTCTCCAAAAAACTTTAGTTTCACTGCCGCGAAACAAACTCCTGTATCTATAGTTTCGGGGTTTCGAAACACAGATTTTACGCAGTCGAAAGTCTGTCGCAGACATTACCTTAGTTTCTGCCCATAAAACTAAAGTTTTAAACCTTTGTTTTTTGCCCCCGAAACTAACGAAGTTTCCGTTCCAGAGTTAGTGTGTTCCCCCCCCCCCGGGGGCCGGGGAGGCGAGGCTTGAAACCCTCGTTTTTGTTCGCAAAACAAACAATCTTCTTTGCACGGTGTTTGTTGGGGTTGAAACAACGTTTTTTTAAAACTTTGGCTCGCGATGTATCTCCAAGTTGGGGTTCATAGAAGAGAATGATTGTGCGTAAGCTATTGGCTGATGTGTGCTGCATCGGTTCTTTACCTTCAACAAGGTGATGTGCGGTTTGATGAAGGTAGACTAAGAAGTTACTAAGAAGCAGGCTGGATTTCTATCGCTGTTATCAGCCGAGGACGCCAAGAAATCAAGATCTGTAGTGACATGTTTGTTTATACAGTGTATAACCAAATCAACAAATACACTTGGTTGGTCTACACTTGGTTGGTCTACAAATACACGTTGATCAACAAATACAGTGAATCGGTCTACCAACGGCGTTGAAGTGACCAAGGCGTACGGTGTCGCTTAGGCTTGAAAGGGTGCCACAGAAGCACCAGTGTACTGCATGCCTTGCATGTATTGCCTTCGAGGCAGCGGACATCGATAGACATGCATGAGTGTATGAGTTCCATGCATGGGAGTGGAGATGAGATGCCATATGGGCAGGTGGAAAATCACATCGGTGTGCTCAGGTGTAGAAACGTTAGAATAGGTTGGAGGCCATGGCTAGGTTGGAGGCCAGCTGGTCAGAGTCTTTGAGACGTTCGGAGGCGCAGTCGGACTGCCACAGGACTGCGGAGATCTGGTCGCTCTCGCAGCCTTTGCAGCCTGTAGGAGTGGAAACATCAGTGAGGCCTGTGGGCTGTGATGGTCTTTTCTTGAGTTCTCAAGTGGATGGCACGCATGCAAAAATATGACATATCGGTGCATATCATGTGATGAAATGTTGTTGATGTGGGGATACACTACAGGCAGTCGGCATGAGTAGACTGGTGACTAGTGTTCCGCAGGTGGGTGAGCGGATAGTTTAACCTATTTGGGTGACCTGCAGTACATGGCATCACTTCTTGCGCACTGCAAGGATGCTAAAATAGCGACCCCATCAAGCTCACAAGAAGCTTTTGGATACCGTAAGTTGAGGAATGTCGACTGATCACATCTGCTCACAGGAACCCAAGAACCCAAGAACCAGCCAAGCGTTGGGGCCACCGAAGATCTCAACATGCCACCCTTTTTCCATCCTTCGCACCGATAAGCCAACCAGCTGGAACTACATGGAAGTACTTGGTCGGTGATTGGGGCCAAGGGTCCAGGACATCGAAGGACATCACACCGAGATCGATCCGACATCGATCATTATTGATCGTTATGTGTATTAGAATATAGTGCAAAGATGTACATCAAAGATGTACTAAAGTACCTATAGTATATACATGTTTATGTGTATTTGCAAGACAACCTGGTGGCTTGAAGTACTAACTTCGAACTGAACTGGGCCTGCAGGGCCCTGTGGCGAACTCAACGGTGTCGTGTGTCAACGCGCTGGGCCCAGTTGACAGCCGTTGGCTCAGCGCGCCATAGCGCGCCATGGCCCTGGCGAAACCGCCCTGGACAAGCATTGGCACGCTCAGCGGAGCTGCCTGCGGTCCACGTGCCGCGGCAGAAGTGGAGCAAATCTGCTGAAGGTGGTGGATTTATTGAGTTTATTATACTGATTTCAGTGAGATCTCGGTAAAGATCATGAGAGCCGTTTCTAGAGATTGCGTGGCTAACAGAATGTTTGCCCCATGGCTGACAGATTCGTACGTATTCTCCTGTCCCGCATCCCTCGCATCTGCGCGTTAGAGACACCCTGCCTCCTAAGCTGGTGAGTTGGGGTCAGCCACCTTTACCTTCATTAGAGAGCAGCCAGCAGACACGCCAGTGGAGAGATTTGTTTGGAAGCAATGTTCATGGCCGAAATGAATGGATACACTCCCTGAAATCATCATGGACGTGGGAATTGGTTCGTTGGATGACCATATGTTTTCTCTACAAAACAGGTGGTTTTTACACTTCCATATAAGCGCCTCGGAGTGCAAACCACGTGTTCAGGGCGGAATTGGCCTCGACCTTCTAAAGTCCACACCCAGTGGTGAGCGAAGGTCAGCGGACCAGCCAGGCAGCTTCAAATCGCATGGATCAAGTCACGTCTTTGGAAGTAACACAACGCTAGTAGTAACAAGTGCATCGCTAGTAGTAACAGGTGCCTTACTAGGAACAAAAAGCTATTAGAATTAAAATAGAATTAATAGCTTTCTTGTTACTGTAAATGCACCCGAAAGACGACCCGGACGTCATCCGACCGATCGGATGTTGCTTGGACACGGTGTCGCTGCTTGGCGCTCCGGTGTCGCTTGACAGCGGGGTGGTGTTTTTTTCCCTGGATGACCCACCACTCACCTCTAAGAGCGTTTAGGACAGACCCATGTTGTACTCATGTTCACTTTCGTTTAGGAACGGACGTTGGCTGTTGTTGGGGTGATTCCACGGGTGCGTGGATGTGTTGAGTTCGTCCTTCGTCTTGTCCTTTTCCGCGCAGGGCGTCCGGACGCTCGTGACGGCGTGCACTCCTGTGAGGTGTGCAGCCTGAGCGGCTGCTGGGCTACGGTGCGGGCGGTAGAAGTCGTTTTGGACTCGTTGAAGCTGGAACGGTCGGACGGGCCAGAGGGGCTTGGTCGATGGATGGACAGGACGTGTTCTTCCGGAACACTGAATTGATTAAAAACAAGAGCTGTTGATATGTCACAACATGGGGATTGGTACATGGGGTGTATATACATATACGTACATCAAGTTCGACAGTGTTTATATGATACTTCAAGATATTTTAAGATGAAACCAATTGAATACTGTAGTGGTTTTAAAAAGAAAAACATTCCTGCACCACCGACCCCACGCTTTGGGAACTGGGTGTGCTTCTTTTCGCCAGGCTGGGCACCAGGGAGCGAGGCCGGTGTGGAGGAGAAGGGAAAAGAAGAGTGGGAGAGCACCTTTAGAGCAATCAGCCTTTATTTGGTCAATTTTTGTCATATATGTTTGTCCATTTATTGAAAGAAAAGAAGTTTCTTCCAATTCCCCTTGCTCCACTGGTTCAGAAATGGACCTGTGCATACCTATGCCTATAAATACTAGTTCCACTATAAATACTAGTTCCACCAACACTTGCGGCAACATCAGCACCCCTTCTTCCTATCCCATCCTCGCCATCCTCGTCCAATCTCAACGCTCCAGGAGAGCCATGGCCGCGATGGCCTGGCCGTGACCGCCTGCGCCGCCTTCCGCGCCGGGAGAGATCGGCAGAAGCGGCGCTTGGAGAAGCGCCCGGCCGGGGGGCGCGGACGATCGGTACGACGCTCCGTCGGAAACCGGTGGTTCGGTTCGGAAGAGCGAAAGGAGAACTCCGTAACGCCTGCCTCCCAGCAGGAACGCCTTTCCCTTCTTTTTTACCTTCGGAATTTGGCTAAGTTTGGTTGCTAAGGCAGATTAGCTCAAGCTTTTCCGAGAATCCCTCAAATCATCATGTTTTTCAACATGGTGTTTCTTTCGACCTTTTGAACAGGAAGAAAAGGACTGGTGCAAGAACATGATGGTGTGCAGAAGGTCAGATCTTGGACCCATCCAGCTGCTACGGATGGCCACGCGGCCACGCAGCAGCTGGGGAACTGGTCAATGCACAATGCATTCTCTTTCGGATTACCAAATGCCCCGAATGAGCCTTGCAAATGCCAGATCACCCTCACCATCCATCACCTACAGAGTCTCTTTGGATCTGTTCGGCTTCATTGAACACGTGAGGCTGTGCACGCACACTTGCATAATACTCGGTCGCCAAGTATTTTACACCCCAACCGCTCCAGGTTCGCCTTCAAACGTTCAGAAAATCGATTTGCACCGAGGCCGTGGCCAAGCGGCTACGCACATGGAAGCGCATGACAAGGCGGCTCAGCTCTGTCCGAGGATTTAGGTTTACTGTAATCGTGCTGAAATGATTTCAATATAGTGGTACCCAGGCACTCCATGGGACTGCCATATATGCCGCCCCAGACAGACCCCCCAAACCACCACCCCAACTGATCGGCGTATATGGCAGTCCCATGGAGTGTCTGGGGTAGAAACTGATTCATACTCTTTCTATGTACTGTATATTGATGTATATTGTATATTGTAGTCTAGTAGTCAATTCACCCTTTTGGATCACTGTACGGTTTGCCAGGTACATTTCGAAACTTGTTTGTCCCAGGCAAGCAACCTGGACCACATGCAGTCCAGTCGTCGCAAGCCGTGAGAATCATAGAGATCGCAATCCATCCATCCATTCCAGGCAGCTGTGGCTAGTTCACGCATCAAAAAGACATCTGACCTCAAAAGGACCACCTGCCCGCCGAACACACCGAACACACATGCTCCGTGGCCAGGCCACACGCGTTTGCACCTGGGACCATGCCGGCTTCTGGAGCGACCTTTTTTCGGGGATGGATGGACAAAACTCGATGCTTTTCAGGTTTGATGAATGAAAAGGGTTTGGCTTCAGGATGGCAGACAGTTTCTACTGACATGAAAGGATGTGTTTCTGTTTGATTTGTGCTGGGTGTTTCTGCAAGCTTGCTTGCTTGATCTGGCTTGCTTGCTTGTTTGCTGATTGAGGTCTTTGCTGTGGAGTTGTTGCTGTGTATGTAGGGCAGTGCGCTTGACAAATCTCTATATAGTCGGGTTCGTTGAGCATGCCAGTTCCGATTTCCTGCTTGTTTTGCAGTGCTGTCCGGTGGCCCTCTTTGAGGGCCTCCCCAGGAGCGTTCGAACCGGTCCATCACGTAGTATCACTATATTATACAAAACGCGCAGATCAGAAAGGACTTGTCAACACAGCCAGCCGGATTGTTGAGGTTGCCTCAGTGTCGGAGTTTGGCATACTTTCTGGGCATCTTTCGACATGAAAAACATGCAAAATGACAGAACCGTCGTCCGCTCCAGGATCCAATGGGGCCAAGACAGCCGCCTTGGTCTTACAGGACCGGCGGCGCCGAGAACCGTCTGTCTCGGCGCCGGCATGTTCGGTTCTGCCGGGCGGTGGATGGGTTGAGAGGAAGAGGTTTTGAGAGGAAATGGAATGCCTGAGTTCATTTAGATGTCCATCAAATATGGCACTGGATACTGTTGGCAGTTGCCTCGCATATATGCCACGTTATTCTGCAACCACTAGCAAATTTCGGACAGCTTGTCAGCTGCAACCCACTATGTACCATACACCATAGGTGACTCTCCACCAGATTAAGAACCCTTCACGACATCTCCAGTGCCAGAACCCCCCCCCTTCAGTTAGTCATCTCCTCGGACCTTGGTCCCTTGGTCCCAGTCGCCACACCGCCACGGGTCCGCCACCACCGCGAACGCCAGGAGCAGTGGCGTCGCGTGCAGCCCAAGGCCGAGCCCGACGAATTCCGGGTCACCATCCGTCGCCCGGCAGCGGTCGTCGCGTCCCGTGGCGTCTGGGGGGTTGCCGGAGGACGCGGTGGTGACCGGTCACCGGAGTGGCCGTGGACGGTCTTAACGGAACACTTCCAGTTGGTAGGGGAAGTGGTGGTTTTGCCAACAAATCCTCTTGATGCATGTTTCACTGCCATGTGAATGACTCCAAGTGGCAGCACCCAGACGGAGAGGGATTGGATGGTCAGCCAATGGTGGTCTGTGCATTTCAGTTGGGGTGGTGTTGGTAATCCTCTTACGATGTACCTATGTCCAATATCTTCCATCCAAAGCATGGACCAGGAGACGCCAAGGCTGCTTCACCTACAGCATGAGGATCTCCTACATAGTGGTCTTGGCGATTGAAAATGGCATAATATTCCAGAAACTGCCACAATTGGACGTGTCCGCGGTGGTGGTGCGTCACGTCCGCTTTTCCCTCAGCGCGGGCCTCGCGAGTCGCGGGCTCTCCAAGGCGTCATCCCCTTGTTGTTGGCGCAAGGGTCGCTGGGCCGCTCTCGTGGGGTGGCAGCTCTGGCAGAGGTCTCATCGTTGGGTGATTTGACCTTCCCTGGGTTTGGCGGATCAGATATCCTGTTCTTCATTGTTCTTCTTTCACGTGGACGTTTGTAATGTCCCAAAGACACAACTCGGACTTGAACCAGAGAATCTTCCGCATGTCCTCACCTAGGAAAAGAATGGAAGAGACATCCATTCTGTTCCAATCTGTTCCACCAGACCAACTCTGAGAATCGATGGACTCGCGGCCCGATTCCCTCACCGATGACTTCGATGGAACCGGCGGGGTGTCGGTCGTTTCGATGTGGTCATCCCAACGCGTGGTCACCAGGTGAGTGACCAGAGTCGGATGAGGAAAACTCCAGGAAAACTGCGTGAAAGGACGGGTTGTTTTCATGCATTGAAAAGCGTCCACTGCGAAGCGTCCGCTGAGATCTGCTGAGGCTTTGGTCGGTCTTCGTGGTGTGCATGCACCTGGTGACTGGTTGGAGACTTTTCTATCGAAATAGAGCTGTGTATCAGACAGACTGGCATCAGACTTTTGCGGAATGTATTTTTGTTGGTCAATCTATCGGGAAACTCACCGGTTTAGGGATCCTTTCGCCGAACTTCATGTCGCCCGAACATGAAGCCCCTCATCTGCCTCCCTCACGTCCCCCTGAAGCGTCTCGCTTCGCGTCTCTCGCTTCGCCTCCATCTCGGTGGTTTTCTGAACATGAAAACAAACCGGAGGGGCATCACCTCCCGGATCATGCGGTGTTGGAGGATGCTGCGGTGTTGCCGTGTGCTTTTAGGCTCTTGTTTTGGAGGGCAAAAGGTTTCAAAAGGCTTCCAAAAGGCTCCCAAAAATGGCTCCAAAACCTCCAAAGCTCAGGGACCTGTTTGAGTTTCTCGATGACGTACGTTTGAGCCGAGTGCAAAGGGGGGTGAGTCGATCCAAATCGTTTTCTTGAAGAACCATAGAAGACCCATACGACCATACCTGGGACGGGGCTTAAGCGGAAGGACATCGTGTTCGACGGCTTGGCACTCGACTGGACGACCGAAGTCGCATCGATCAGGAAGTTGCACAACTCCTCCATCATCCATCCACTCCTTGTCGGAGCGCCGGAAGTCCGCTGCGCCGTGTTGCGTGTTGCGCCCGACTTCTGTTGTCATGTGCATGTTGCTGAAGTCACACAAACACAAACATCTCCACATATCTCCACTATAGTCCTCCTTTTTTCAGAAGAGCAGGTGGAGCGATGTTGAACATGTTTTTCAGACGAGTCGTTTGACCTGTAGGGGTATGGTTCAAGGACCTTTCACTTTTTCTCCGGGATGGTCAGAATTCATTGCTTCTCCTCTTAAACCAACTGCCTCCAAACCTGCAAACTCTTAAACCACAGTTGCTGAAGATAGATATGTTCTTCTTCAGAACTTGATCCCTCAAGAACCTGTAGCCTCGATCATCCTCGATCCCTTCAGTCCCGATCTTCGGATGATCGAGACCATCGGACGCCATGTGGGGCCATCGGGTGGGGGGGAAGCGACAGGGGGCGGAAGAGCCTGGTGCGGGGGGCGAGGAGTGCTGGGCTTGCTCTTGGCCTTCCGCACCAATCAGGCGAAGTCGCCGGGTTCGCCGTGGCGGTGTGGCGTCGGACCGGTGTTCACCACGTGGGAACGGAGCCCAAAACTCCAGGGAGAAGGCTCTCACATGGTTCCGGAAGTAGACCGAGATGGAGCCTGAAAGCAAAGTGAAAATTACAACGTTCGATCTACAAAGAAGCTGAGGGAATACCAGTTTGGGAGGTACTTGACAGTTCTGAGTGCGATCAGATGGACCCGGAATCCCTTTGCGAACAGACGAGCCTTCATCGCCACCCAAACCGGGTTCCGAAGGCGGTAGACTCGCTTGACTCAAACCGTTTTGGAGTGGTTCAGGAGTTTCATTCTGGCCTAATAGACCATGAGAATCATATACCTCAAGCCGGAGGTTCAAATGTCCGAGTCTTGAACCATGTCGATGCGAGTTGCTCACCATCTACACCAGGTGACATTTGATCCGACTTTTCCGCTTTGGCTCGAAGAGAATGCCGCGGCCTTTTCGTCGATGAAGTCACCATGGAAGCCGAAACGCTGGGCAGGGAGAATGCTATCACGGACAAGGACAGTGATCAGAGCGACCATTCTGACGTGAAGATTGATGCGGTCGAGCTCGTTGGGGATTGGTGCCTGTGAAAATTGACAATGCTGTTGTTGCTTTGAATCTTAAGGCATTTGTAGGTTCAAGCCTACAGAGACAGGGGCTATACCCAATATGAAATAGATCGAAATAGTCATGTTTGGGTCTTTTTGGTGTGCCTCCCTTCTTTGGCAGCGTCCCAATCGCAAACCGGGTAGGTTCTACCGTAATTACAAGTTCCAATCAGACTACGTGGTTCAATCATGTTCAACTTACCATCATCCTACCATCAAAAGATTTGCCCACAAACGATTTGGGGACTGAGCCAAGAGTATGGTTGTTTCATGCTGTTTCTTGATGAAAAACACCTGCTGAAGCTGGGATTGCGAGTCGCCCCAAGAATCGTCCAAAAAGGCTCTCACAGATGGAGTTGACTGATGAGAAGTTCCTTCGAGCAGCCCCAGCATATCGTGTAGTCGAATGTGCTGGCCGCATTTTTCGACGGAAGAGTTAGGCCGATTTCGCCCACAGCACACCAGTGAGGGCGATCAACAAGTTCATCTCCCACAGCTGGCAAGCTTCAGCACACTCCAAATACATGGCTTTGCTGATGTTTTACAATGGCAAAGCGGCGGTAGTGATGGGAAGTTTGGTCGCTGCCGCTGCAATGATATGTTTCATGTTTGATTTCCTGCCAGGCTGGATGAGAGACATGCCGGATCGTGAACAACCGAGGTATTTGGGTGCTTGGTGCTCAACCCTTGGGATCCTCGTGTGCGTCCTGATCTTATGTTTTCGCCGTCCACGAGATGTCATTTTCTTGGATCGGCTTTGCATCAATCAGTATGATGAAAGAGAGAAAACTCTTGGGGTGATGAGCTTGGGTGCCTGCCTCAAACATTCCAAGAGGATCATGATACTGTGGGATGATACATTTTGCCATAGACTTTGGTGCCTCTTCGAACTGGCTGCTTTTCTTAAGACGCACGATAGTACCGAGTTGCTGGTAGTGCCTTTAGATTTGACCAATTTCCTCTTCTGGAATTTTGTTCTCAATGCGCTGATTTGGGGTGGTAGCCTTGTTGTCCCTTATACGACAGATCTCAGCGGCAATGTTCTTCTTGTGTTGATTTTCGTCCTTGGGACGTGTGCTCAATGCTGGCTTGCGACCACAAATATCCTTCACTTCTCAAAGGGTGCTCAAGCAATTCAGAAGCAGTTGTCGAGCTTTACAGTTGCTGGGGCTCAATGCTATTGCTGTTCTGCAAACCATCAAACACGAGATGGACAAGACATAGCATGTGACCGCAGAATCATGCAAAAATGCATTCAGCATTGGTTTGGCTCGGTTGAGGAATTTGAGAAAGTGGTTCAGACCAGGGTCAGGGATGCTACTATGCTGAAGACCCAGATGTCACGTTTTTTGTGTTTACTTACTTACTGCCTTACTTACTTACTTACGTGTGTGATCGGCAAAAAGGTTGATCTGTTCTCCTCAAAAACCGCCAACAAGCGAGGCTTTTGCAAAGCATTTTGGCGGACACTTTTGTCCATTCACTTGGTTTGCTGCCAGCCGAATCACAATCCTATGGCAACACATGGACAATGCGGCTTCAAGACTCTATGAGCGTGATGCACAAAATGCTGTAGGTCGGATTCTTCTGGGCTTGGGTGTTCAATGTCTCACGGGCTCAATGGTTTTTGCCGCACTCATCCTGCTACTTCGATGCCAACCTTGTAGTGGCTTTCGTCTAAAGCTTCTTGCAACGGCACTCTGCCTGTGTTTAGTGTTCGGATACCACATACTTTATCGAGCTCTTTTTGAAATGCTGGGAGAGCTGTCAGGATCCTTGATTTTTGCAGGGGCTCTTTTGCTACCCACCATCATTCTTTGGCATGCATCCGCGAAAGGATGCTAAAGAAGGCCTGCGTGGCAGAAATCGATGCGCAACAAGTGGCGCAAGTGGGGCCGTTCTTTTTGTGGGCGAAAAAGGCTCACCATGTGTTTGCCTCATGTAGCGACCTCCGGCGACTCCGGAGCGCCAAATCCTGTTGAGCGAGCGAGCGAAAAGGCAGGTGGTGCATGTGAAGAAACTGTAGCCCATTCATGCAAAGACCATGCTGACTGCCTTCACAGCCTCCGACCTATTGCCAGTATCAGTGATTTGGTGAAATGTGTGGAGTAGATATAACTTTCCGCAATGTAGTTGATCCACCCCACACACAAGATATTGCTCGCAGGGACAGTGAGGGAGTGTAATCGATGACGTAGCTCTTCAAATGAAGCAGTTGGGATTGATTGTATCTTGCACCGTGTTCACCTGTGCAGCTGTCGCATCAGCAACTGCCAGATTTGAGAGGGACTAAGTTAATTGATGACCTGTATATATATATTATGTTATATTGTATATATATATATACAGGGCCTCAACCAAGTCACTCACTCAGAATGGTGCCTTGCTTTTTTTAACCCAACGTGAGAACTCCAAGGCCCTCTAAGATTGACCATGAAGAGACATCCAAGAACTGCCTGTGTTCTCATTTTGGCTTCCGAGCAGCCCACGAGGTTGGAATGTGAAGTTGGACCGATGGAGCTCCGCATAGAAAGATCGACAGAGAAGCTATCTTTGCACCAAAATCGCTATACGTACTGACGTACTGCTAATTGTTATGTTTAATTATGGAAAGTTTTATAACAAGAACAACAGTCCAATCAACAATACTGGCTAGAGTTTTAGTGCTATAGTTGCGGAGACCTGGATGTGTTCCTACGTACGTCAACAATTCGTTGCTTCCCGGATCACGGATATCCTGCGAGAACCCCTCGTTGTTCCGCCTGGAAAGGCTTATGAGCGGCATTGGAGCTGTGGCAAGACCCTGGCGGAGTTGCAGAAAGTGCTGCAGACCATGCTCAGGTCTTCCGTCCCAGAGAGATTTACACCGAAAGAGAAGCCCATCCCATGTCATTGCCCTGTAGAGCCCAATTCACCTCTGTTTTGATAGGAAGCGACGGAAAAAACCACAAAATACATCAAAATGGTTGGGTGGGTGTCCAAAACAATCGCCAAAAGGCATACAAAGGGACGACGGTGGTCAACCGGACGATCCGTCTGACCTCTCGGTGACGACGGTGGTCAACCGTCTTCGACCGGGTCCGTGGAGAAAGGTCCGGACCGGTGGAAAGGACCATGTCGACCGGTGGAGCAGGTGTGAAGGATGAAAAGGACCAAGACACATGCGAAAAAAAAAAAAATCGGAAGAAGGCAATGAATGTACGATAATTATATGTCTTTTATTGAGTATAGTACAATCAAAGGGGGCTTGGATGTCCTAAGGTTCTCATCGGAACAAGCGCGACATTGGCATCAACCATCGATGGCGTTTCCGTCCAGGAAAGACCATGTTGAATTCAGTGACCCAAAAAGGATGTCCTTTGTCGTTTTCATGGAGTAAATGCACAAATGATCGGCGAAGTGGACTTCTAGGATTGTCGCCATCGATGACTAACGCTGGCGTTTTATGGATTTATGAGATTTATGGATTTATTTGGAGAATTGTGTTTGGAGAATTGTGGAGATGTGCCCTGAGAAGTCTAGAATCAAGCTGGAACTGTCAGCAGCTGTGCACATTCTCATTCAAAAGTTAGCGGAAAACAGGTGCCTCAGCTGGTTTTCTTCCATGACTTGTGGATTCCGCAGCGAATGCCGCGTGGCCAATCCACGCCTTCCTGCAGCGACCGCTCGATTGGAATCCTGCGAGGTATGCAGCGCATTTGTCTAGAGATGACTGGGCATCTTGGATGGATATGATTGATATATTTGGACGTGACCTGGGACGAGACGGAACAAGAGGGGAAAGGGAGAGACAAGAGTAGGAGAATAAGTTTGGGAGTGCAATGCATAGGAAATCCTGGTTATGGCATCGAGCACTTGCTCTTGATATGGGTTCTAGACCTAGAAGGCCAGCATGAGCAAAATAAGTTGTATATATTGTGCTTCAAAATCGGATGTTGGCTCAAATCTTCCGGCCCTTGCGCTTCAGGAGATCTACTCCTGCATCGTCCGGCACTTGCTCTTTGGATGAAATGCTGGAGTTGGGGGGGAAACCCCCATGGGTGAGACGCCGAACCGGCTGGTACCAAATGAGATCGGCAGGTTTTCTCTGCGCAGGGCCACACACCTACCCGGACTTTCTTCGGATACTTTCCAAGACATTTCAAGACTATAGATGGGACCGCAATGAAACTCTTTTGTTGGTCGATTTGCAAGGATATATCAGACCCTAGGGCTCCAAGTACCTTCTTAGAAGGTGGTTGGGGAGGGATTGGAGGAGGTATTTGGAGGCTAGTGGAAGTGCGTGGGTTGCCAAAGATGGTCTTTATCAAGAAGGTACAATCCCCCAGATGGTTGTTGTGTGTTTGATGGTTTTAACCTTTGGGGGACATGTAATGCCCATGATCTTTCATTTGCGGCCTTTTGCAAGGATTGCCTTCCCTATTGCGCTGAAGCAGCACCTGAAGCGCAGCCAGAACCTCAGGAGGACGTTCTTTTCTTTCACGCCGGTGGGAACGGAAATCCGTCCAAAACCATTCTGAAAATACTCCCCCGCGAACTAACATAAAACCTGAGAATTGACCTGCAGAAGACCATTTTCCTCTACAACCCAGTGGTTTTGGGGTCCATGTGGTCCTCTGCAGGGGAGTATGATCCTGAACTTGATCCCTTCGTCAACCGATCCTTTCAACTCTTTAATAAAAGCTCGTCCGAGCCCCGGACGTCTACTTCGACCACCACAGGTCGCGACCCAGAGGAGTACATGCGGATTCTGGAGCTCCTTGGCACGCAAAAGAGATGGAGCTCCATTGTCGTCCGCGTTCCGCGCGAAGCTGCCGGACCGGGCCAGCGTTCGGAACCCTGCGGCCACCCGACGATCGGTTTCGCGTCTTCATCGGGCGAAGAAGATGTCGGTCGTCGGAGCGGAAAGAGGACCTTTCAATAAAGTGTCGTTGATACGTTGAAGGACCGTGATACGTGTCCAAGGGACATCAAAAGAACCTACAGGGGCCCCCCTCGACTCTGGACCTGTGCTTCGCCAGCCCTCGGCTCGTGAGGACACTGGGGGGGGACGTGTGGAGCCTTCTTTCGCGGAGGAATTCTTGTAGGTGCTCCCGCCAAAGAACTCATTTGGACCAGCTTGACCAAAATTGGCCAAGTTTGAAGGAATTGTTCAGTCAAAAACAGGCCAACCTGGCCATGATGTCAGATCTAACCTGGCGCTGGGATGGCGGTGACCACCTGTTTGACCATGTTTGACTGGCTCCGAAGACCCTCAGAAACGGCGTCCGAACCTCGCCCGAGAAGAATGGCTCCGTCGCGTCTTCTCGTCTCGGCCGAGGTACACGGAGATCGAAGACGTCGTTCGCACCGGACGCCCGCATACGCTCATCCTCTCCAGCTTGTCCATGCTCATAAGGCGGATGAGAGAGGTTCCTTTTTGTGAACCGTGCCAAAGCAGAAACAAGATGAAACAAGTCCATACAAGTCCAAAAAGATCCAACAAGCATGTGTTTGGTGTTTTTTTTGAGAATGGTGGCGCTTGGCAATGGGGATGCCATTCAAGGAATAGTGGGAGGGCTTCTACACTTTTGAGTGAGTCAGGTTCTTTCGCAGTGTTTTCATGTTCCTGTTTGTTCGGGGCACGGTAACGTTGTTCCATTGGATTGGACTGTGTTGAACAAAGTCCTTTGGCTTTTGGTCTCAAAGTTTTAGTCCATTGATTAAAGAATGGCAGCAAGCTCGATGAACGAAAATCATCACAGAAAGGCCAAAACATAACAGCAGCAAGACTCTTGTCACCTTTTTCCGCCAATACCCATACATACAGTAGTGCGCTGCAGGGGAAAATGGGGAAAAGATGGGCCTAAGATGTGGAACGACGGGATCTTCACAGAGATCTTCGCTCCATCCAAATTCACTTTTGGGACCGGTCATGAACACCTTTCGCGCACCCGGAGGCCCTTACGTCATCGGGATGACGGCGAGGGGAAGAGCCTGGCGTTGTGGTCGCAGATGGACCGCAGAAGAGACCGTGGAAGTCTGGAATTCGTTGGGGTTTGTGGACTCCCCATGATCCAAAAAGAAAACAGGTGTTCATGAAGTGTTTCTTGAAGCCAAACCTTGAAGTTGTCTAAATCAGTTCTGTCTTGCTGTTTTCATGCCTATTAGGGCTATTAGGGCGTCAAATGAGGCACTCCAAGTCTGAGAGTGCAGGCATTTCCAGCCAATCCTTGTGGATCGATCGATTCAAGAAATCAAGATACCAGCTGACCAATGAAAATGTAGCCTCCACTATATTGAAAAAAACAAGTGTTACGTGGTTTCAGATACGTACTGTTTTCAACCTTTAGTTGGGATGATTGATTCCACAAATACGTTTCAATTGAGTTGAAACCACCAACCAGTCCACGCGCTTCTTCCAACCGGTACCGGTACCGACCTGTCCGTACTACCCTGGCGACAGGACAACTGCATCACCCAGTTGCAGACGATCTCCTGCAACCTGGACCTGGTGGCCTCTCGGCGAGTCCACCCCACGAAGAACGAAGAACGACCGAAGAAGAGAGTCCGCTGCGGAACCGCGGAACCGCTGCGGAGTCTGCGCTTTGCAGGACATGCACACTCTGCAAACTGAACTAGTTATGGCAAGAACATGCAAGAACGCCGGTCTTGTGAGGGAAAAGACGATGGCATCTCTGATCTGGTATTAATCAATGTTACTGACCAGGTCAAGTGTTTTTGAAGGCATACAAATGCCTTGCCAAATCACTGAAGAGCACCGAGGTTCAGTTGCCTTTGCCAGCAAGCTATACCGTCCACACCAGCCGTTTCATTCGATTATGGGTCCGGGCGCCAGCTGATCCTGGGGAGTTTTGGAGGTGTCGACAAGCTGAGAAGGATGAAGAATTGGAAAAAGTGGTGGATTGTATGAGAAGTTTGGTGTCGAAGAAAGTGGTGGATTGCTGAAAGTTTCCATATGTTTACATGCTTGGAAGGTCTTCTCTCTCTTCTCTCCACTTTGGGGGTCAGACCTGCTGAGCGAAGCTTGCCACAGATGCAGGTCCGCATTGAATACAAACAAGCGACTATGCAGCACGCAAATCTGACACCCGATTGGAACAAAACAAGTACTTGAACAACTATAAAAACGCTCACGTTTGTACAGCTCTTCCAGGTGAAATTGAGTGCACATGCATGCGCATGCCCCAGCTAAGCATGAATACCCTATCAGAACGCTCAGCATCCACGCGTCTCGATCGAGTCGGACGCTGCGCGGCCAGATCGGTACGTTGCCCTTCGTTCTGCTGGGCTTCATTAAACCTGCCCCTTGGCCAGACACATCTGACCGTGCAATAGGGATACACCCTGGCCCAGGTTTTGGAAGGTTGACTGGTCTATGTCACGAAGCTTCCAGGGGTCGAACCAGGGTCGGTCTCCCTATTTTACTAGGCATGGACCCATCTGATGAATCTGGAGCTGAGGGTTTGTCTCAGGGATCAGATATGTCGGGCAGGTCGGCGTTCGATTTCTTCTTAAAACATCTGGGCCACCCGAACGCATGCCGAACGCAGGTCGGCAACGCCCACTCCTGTTTGTTTCGGTTCTCCACGGTCAAAGGTTTGAAGCATGGCCGTCGTCTCTTCCACCTGATGAGAGGTGTTCTTCGCCATCAGAGAAGGTCACATCGAAACCTAAAACCGAAATCCCCGGTGGTGCTCCAAACGAAGAAAGGACCCCCACCCATCCCTCTCGTGGATCCAAGACGTCCACCGCCATGTTCGCTAGCGATGAGGTGCTGGTGCCGGTGATCGTGCTCCTGGTGGCGTGGGCGCTCTATTCCACTGAGGAGTTGGCACAGATCATGGAGGAACCCTTTGGAGATGAAACCGCAGGCGGCGCGGTTAAGGGGGGGGTTCCCCCGAAGACTGGGGCGCCATGGGGCGGAAAGCTGGCGCCAAGGGGTGGGAAGACGGAAGGACAAACGTGCCGATGCCACCGTGAAAGTGTCGAAAGTTTAGTATCTTTTTTTGAGGTCAACGTGTCACATGTTGGAGGTTTCTAGGAAGGTGTCAATGCTATCCCAGCATATCCCAGCTACATTTCAATGTTGATTCCTCGCAGTCCCTGCATCAGTCTGGAGCAGGAATCACAGGAATACACCCAGGTTACCCAATCTCAGCGGGCAGTGTGGGCCAGCGGTGGTTTTTGTTGCGTGCGAACGACCGGCGTTCAGCTGCGTTCAGCACGTTCTTGTGGTTTTTTTCGTGCTGCGTTCAGCCAGGCAAGCCTGAGACGATCAAGCTTGATGTCTTTTGCCGCTGGTCTTCAGCGGAGTGTTCCGTACCGAAGAGGAGAGTGCCACGTACCCTCGTGGATCCGAGGAGGAAGGACGGAAGGACGAACGGAGGGTTTCGTCGGCCGATTTCGAACCACTGCAGTACCTGTCCGAACGTGGTTTGGATCCACTGAGTCAACCCCTTCACCATCCATCGTGGTCACGCGGCGGCGTTGGTGTGAAAAGCTGCCCACCCAACACTTAACACCGAAGCCCTCGAAGCCGACCAAGACGCACGAGCGACGCCATCAGGTCGTCGGATCATTTTTGCTCTGAAGCAGCAAGTCTGGGTCCAGGATGCAAGCCCAAACGAGCGGCGGAAACGGGAGGGAAGTTCGGGAGGACACCGGAACCAGTTGAGTGAAAGAGAAAGAGCAGACCCATGTGTTTCCATGCTGAAACCAAGTGATGAAACAACTGTGCCTTCTTCTTTTTTGGCCTCCGAGAAGTGGAAATGTTGCCGCTGTTGAAGTTGCTTGACAAACCTTGCAGTAGATGACGCTTGATGACACTATATATACAAGACTTAGATTATATTTATATAGGTTTGAGATTTGAGAGGTTGAGTTGAGGGCTGAAGAAGCGATTTGTGATGAAGTCCAATTCCCACCACATCACATCCAACCATACAGCACTCACACTCAAGTAGGATGCTGTAGGGGAGATGGTTTGAGATGGATTCTTTGGTTCCGAATCCCAGCGGCCCGTGTTGAAACAGGTTGTGTTGAAACAGGTTGAAAACGATGGAAGATCCACTGTGATCAAATGAGGCGGCAATTCGCATGCCAGCCACCTGACTCATGCAACCCAATTCATTGCAAGTGTTCATCTTTTCAGGAGACGCTGGACACCCGCGTGAACGCGGGAAGTTGGGTGGTAACCCGTGAAGACATACCGAAGGCCGGGCATGAAGACCTACCTCCCACATTTCGCCATTGGGGCGGTGTGGGGAGTTGCAGGGCATTTCAGTGTTTATTTGGGAACTTGCAGGGCAAAAAGCAGAGTTCAAAGAAGCTCATCCTGGCATCTGCGTTTTTGTTTGCAGCGTTTCTTTTTGCCGCATGTGTCACAGGACCTTCCAAAAAGGCGTCATCGTTAACAGCAGAACAAGCGGACTCTATACCCATTCCAGACCTTTTGCTACAAAAATGAACCTCAGAGCAGTCGCAAAAGAGCGAACGCGAGTAGACGGAACTTGGAAGGATACAGTTTGAGTAGACGATCCCATGGAACCTGAAAACCACTGGGTTGGTATTCGGAAGATAGTCTTCCATGGGGCCATTCTCAGGGTCTATGTTCGTTTTCGGGAGTGTACAGTTTGTTTGGGGTTGCCATGTTCCACTGAGTCCAACTGCAGGCTCGACCCGCGGGCTCGACGTGTCCGCCGTGTCCCTCGGTTCAGAAGAACGATCAAAGCCCGGGTTTGGCGTCAAGATCGACGCCAGATGGACTGGGCCGAATTCGGCTTGAGTGAAAAACTCCCAGAATGGGCTGCAAAAATGGGAAACTCCACCAGAAACCAGGGTTTGGACTCAGAAGATGGGGAGAGTTTGGTCGAATTTTTCCAAAAAACGACATGGTCTGCATGGTCCTCGACGGCTGGTCCTCGACGGCTGCTCCTCAACGGCTCCAATTCCTTCGTCTCCAGGTCCGGCAAGTGGAGAAGGAGGAGCCTCTCCACATGAAGAGCGCTTGGGATGTCGACTGAGCCGACGGACCGGTTTAACCGGCGCTGTTCAAATCGGAGGGGACCCAAGAATGGACAGAACATGACAGAACATGGACGGGTGACCCAGAGTCGGTTTGGAATTGAAGTGGATCTTTTTAGACCAACATGGAGCGACCATTCTAGCACCAGCTGTTGTATTACCTACTTGTACTTGGTGCCAGTTGTGGGGTTATGTGGGTTGACATCGTGACTGGCACAGTGCATGTGATATAATTCCAGATTCTTTGCTGTTTCTCCCTGTTTCTCCTGTTACTTTTCGGTGCTAGTCTCGTGTCACCTCGTGATAGGAGCAGCAGGAGTCTTCCCACTACTTGTTGGTGTTTCCCAAAAGGCAAGAAAGTTCTGCAAAGCTAGGTGGACCTCCATACATGTTTGGAACAGAGAAGAACCCTGACAAAGAAATCTGTCAGATGTGCATCACTCGTCATGGATTTGGAAGATTCTTTTGACACCGTTGTCCCGGGATGATCCCCCTCCTGGTAGAATTTTTAATGTTCAATGCTAGCTGATTTTATCAAGGGCTTTATGTTTGCTGCAGCCAATAGTGCTGCGCAGACCTGCAGCACAGCACTGAGAGGAATGCGCTCGCTCTATGCTGCGCAGCGGAAGGGTGAGCAATTCGTTTCGCCTATTGAGCCTGTGGTGTCGATCAGCACGGCCAGTGGCCGCTGTGCAACATGGATTTGTGGCCGCCATTCCTCTCACTCGGTGGATACAGACCCCACGTCCTGCATGGAGCCGTCTGTCTCAGTCCCCAGCGATGCGTGATCGATGCGTGATCGACGCAGCCGGTCGATGTGTAAGAGAGAAGTGTACTTCTTGGTCTATGTTGCCATGGCATAGGACGTCTTAGGATTCATGTTTGGATCTTCAACATGTTTCACTGATTCAGGGAATCCACCCCTTTAAACCAAAGGAAGAATGCTACATTTCGTCAGGGCATCCTTTTCGTTAACGCCTGGGAGTCTTTCTGAACAGTCCGTTCGAGCCTCTTCAGAGGCCTTTCAACACGGTTCTGGCTTGTTTTGATTTGTAGGATGGAGGAGTACTTCCGACTTTCTTTGGACAGGTCCTCTTCGGCAAATGAGTCCCCACCATCCCGGACGTCGCTGCAATCCTCGCCGGACAAGGTTGGACGTCGAAGCGCGAGCTAATGGGACTCAGTAAAAGGAGCTAATGGCAAAGGGTCGGTTCTTGCAGCTCAGCTTTTCAAAACTGTGTCTGATTCACCTGAAGACATTGGGTGAGGCACGCGTTATACGCGGGTTCCCCTTTCTGAAGGGGTTGGAAAACGAAGACGCGAACGACGGATGGCGGTTTTTCGTTGACGCGCGAACGACGCTCGGATGGGGCCCCGTGGACGGCTAGGGCTTGAAGCAGGGAGCTCCAAGAAGAACTCCTGGCCGAGAAAAAAGGATGCATGACCAATGAGAATGAGAACCTAATAGCAATGGCCTCCAACCTATAGTAGCGATGGCCTCCAACCTATAGT